CTTGTGACCCGCTATTTCTGGGGTGCCTTGAAAATCGAAGCAGATTTTGTGCTGTTGAAGTTAGAGAGGTGAGCAGAGTAAGTCTGATTCCCTGCAAGGACTTTTTTGTTGTCATCCACCCCTCGGTGCTCATATGACCTTAACATGCAGTTGCGAGCGCCGTAAAACCTCTACTAAAACAAAAACAAACAATAACAAATAAAATCAGAACAGCCATTCTATATTCGAGGGGAAAAGCATAATAAATCACCTTGCAACCTTGTACCAAAATCTTCCATGCTGTCGTTAGAATGCTGCCTGTAGAAAGTAACAAGAAGTAAACCACAGTGTCCATTAGAGTAAAACAAGACATTGAGACTGTCTGCAGTATATAAAATAGGTCTCCTATAAATTGAAAAAATGCGATTTTGTGTCATCTCTATCTTATAATTGTTTCGTTTCCAAACAATTCATAAAGAATAAATAAGGCTCCCTTTTCATTTATCCCCCCCCTTTCCCCCCAAAAATAAATAAGGAATTTGGATTTCAACTGTTAAATTATTTTCAGAAATCACTTCGACATTGGTTCATAAACATGCATGCCTCTTTCTGGTACTAATTCTGTCTTAATTGCCTAATATTATGTTGTCTAGCCCTTTCCCTACGATAAATCAACCAACCAGTCTAGCTTGACAATTTTTACACCTACCAACCAGCTATGTCATATGACACTCCATCCACTTATCCACCAACCCCCGAATTTGTTTTAAAAAATTAATTAAAAAATCAGTCAAATAAAAGTCAAACAACAAATCAAACAACCAATCTTCCACAAAATCACCTTGTAACTTCCACACAGGTCATCAGTGTCACACCAGTGTACTGACCAACCAGCCAGACATTCACCCATCCTTCAGCTGAACGAACAAAATTAGAACAACTACCCCGCCTCAACAATAAATCAGCCAACTGACTATCCAATTAAATAACCAACCAGCAAAACCAAACAATTAACCAGTCAACCAACCACCACTCCCCATCCTCAATCCATTCACCCATCAGTACAAAAAGAAACTAACGATTACGAGACATTATGGGCAGACGTCTATATAATAATGGCCCTCTTTGATTGCAACAAGACGTATACAAACAAAATAAACTATTTACAATAACTCAGCAATACCACCACCACCACCAACACTAACAACAATAAAAATAATATCAATGGGGTGGGTGGGTACTCCGGTGTGGTTTGCTCCTTCATTCCCATCAAACATATATCGTCCTTATCCCTCTTCCTTTTTGTTTGTGTTTATTACTCTCTTGTAACATCTCTAACCTTCGGCACTTTTATTAAAACATCATCATCATCATCATCATCATCATCATCATCATCATCATCATCATCATCATCTTCATCATCATCATCTTCATCATCATCATCATCATCATATGTGTATTCTGGGTACTCCAATAAGCGGGAACAAAATATCACATGTCGCTGGGACCAGGTTGAGCTAGCGAGACTGCGGTCGGACCATCATTGGAGATGGTATAAGAACTTTGTAACTGAAGAGCTCAGCCCACGTTGCTGAAGATGCAGCCATGAAAAGGAGGGTGCCCAACATATGTTTGAATGTCCAGGAACAATGGCAATTCGAATGGCGTTATTTGGACGAGCGGAGGTGCCTCTAAGCATATTGACAATGGAGCCGAAA